TCGATTCGGTATATATTAGTCGAATTTTTCAACCTAAGAATTGTCATGACTTAGGGTTTCATGCAATTTTTAATATTTGTATTATACAACCCTAGGTTTATGGTTTAATGTTAATTGCTTTCGGTTCTTAGAATGAAATTGGTTGTATTGTAGTTATGGTTCTTATTGACATTAATTTGTGATGTTTTGATTTTTGTTTGTTAAATTACAACCATTTTGTTATATGTAAGAAATGTATCGGGATGAGTTTTGGTGAAAACGGGGTCGTCCTCGAGAATTATACCCCGACGCGTCTAGCAAAGATGCCCCGTCCCTCCTGACCTCCCTGTCCCTAACTGTGACTGTAGTTTCCCGGCCCACATGTTTCAATCGAGACATCCAGACACAGCGGCGCGTTGCTTCTACACATGCAGTCGTTTTAATGTAAGTAATTGTTTCCACTATCTTTTTTTCTTTATTTATGTAAGTATGCTACTAATATTTTGTTGGAATCTTGTTGCGTAGGACCATGAGAGATGCCTTTTCTTCTTTGGTGGATCGGCCGGTGCGAGACAAGTTTGACCCTAGGTACTTCCTTTTCGACGATTGATGTAGAGGGAGAGCGCGCTTGTGACGACGCGTGCAAACGGGGACGGTAGAGAGAAGAGAGAGAGAGGAAAGAGAAAGGAACCTCGGGCCCATACGTAAGAGGGCTTGGCGTCAGGATTGTTGGCGTCGAGCTCGGCGCCAAGATCCACGGCGCCGAGCTGGCTGCCATGTCAGTGTCCATGGCGCCAGCAACGATGGCGCCGAGCTCGGCGCTAAGGGTTCAGATTTTAAAATCTTACCTACAGGGACATATTCGTGAAATTTTTTCAAAAAAGGAGCTAAAAATAAAAAATTCGGGGAAGCGGACGATGCAGGTGTGGCTCGACTGGGCGATCCGGCCCAACGGGGCGTCGGCGTTCACCGGTTCAGACGCCATGAAGAGCAGCAGTTCGTCGTACGCGTGCAAGAGCTAGCATACTAGCTGCGTCGATGCTGTGAATGGCCCTGGGTATACATGCAACTGCTCCCACGGCTACGAGGGCAACGCGTACATCGTCGATGGATGCACCGGTAAGCATGCAGCAGGCAGGAAACTACTTTCACCACTATATATGTCCACCGAAATAATCATGACTTCGGAGTCGTGCATGATCCATCCATGCAGATATTGACGAGTGCTTGCGTCCGGAGAAGTATCCGTGCTACGGGGTTTGTCACAACACAGAGGGCTCTTATGATTGCAAATGTAAACGAGGCAGCCACGGCAATCCACTACAACAGAAATGCGATCCCAATTTCTCTCGTGGAGCAAAGATCTGTATAGGTAATGCAATGCTTATTTTTAGTAAAGTCTGATTTGTCACTCGAGCTTGTAGCTAAATTTTAAAAACTCCCAATTTTGAATATCGGACAGTTTTAAAAAGAGATCCGACAACATACCCTCTTTATAACTTATAAAACCACCTTATAGTTCACAGTATTTTTTATAGTGGTTTTGACTAACGTGGACATATGTAGTATGTGGGGCTCAAATGTCTTCGAGTTTTGACTTACGTGGACATAATTTTGATCAAACTTAAGATATTTTGACTCTATAAAAAAAAGCTGGAACAACTTATAGGGATGGAGGGAGTATCATCTAAAATAAAATGTGGGTTTGAAAGGTACGCTAGCTAGGCAGGATGTATAAGCTGTCTAAATTCTGAACTATATTTGCCATTATCTTTTCACAGGAGTAATATGTGACATCTCATGTGTTATAGCGCTATCAATTTTTATTTTTATGATGAATGAGAAGAGAAAGCTTCGAGCATTCTTTGAGAGAAATGGAGGTCCTTTACTGGCAAGTATCAATAACATCAAGATCTACACGAAGAAGGAATTAGATCACATCACAAGAAATTATAGCACTGTTATTGGCAAAGGTAGCTTGGGAGAGGTCTACTGAGGGAACCACCAATGACAATCAAATTGTTGCAGTGAAAAAGCTTTCCACTCCAGTACCCCATACCTCCATTTATCCAGAATTTAAAAAAATCTGGGAAATAAGAATGAAGGAGTTTAAGAATGAAATCAAGATCCAAGCTGAAATTAAACACAAGAATATTCTTAGGCTCTTGGGTTGCTGTTTAGAGGTGGAAATTCCAATGCTGGTCTATGAGTTTGCACCTAGAGGAAGCCTCTGCGACGTCCTTCATGGTACCCCAAGACTTCCACTTCCACTGCAAACAAGGTTGGATAATGCTGCTGAGTCGGCAGCAGCTCTTGAATACATGCATTTATCGGTCGCTCAAAAAATCTTCCATGGAGATGTGAAATCAGGTAATATACTTCTTGATGAGAGCTTCATGCCAAAGGTTTCTGACTTTGGGACATCAAGGCTACTTTCCATAGAGAAAATGTATGCTGAATCTGTGAATGCGATAGCGGACATTGAGTACTTGGACCCTGTGTATGCCAGGGGTATTCTGAATGAGAAGAGCAATGTCTACAGTTATGGAATTGTCCTTCTAGAGCTGATTACTAGAAAAAAACCATCATATGCAGGAAATAACAGCCTCAAGATCAACTTCACAGAAGACAAGGCACGTGAGATGTATGATGAAGAGATTGCATTCCCAGCTCAGAATATTGAGCTTCTTCATAAGGTTGGCCGTGTTGCAATTGACTGCCTTGCAAAGCAAATGGATGACAGGCCCAACATGAAGCAAGTGGCAGAGAACCTTGAGTCGATAAGAAGGGAGTGTGAAGCGAATGCAGGGAAAGCAAGGTGATCAAGTAGCTGATGGGACTTCTATTGAATGTTCTCCTGTTGGTATAACCATGGATGCTAGTGCTACTGATGCTGAGATTCTGGAGAGCACTCTCCTTTGCAGAGGTGAAATGGAAACGTACGCCCTTTCAGTGGCTTATTATCCGTTAAAGAGTGTGAAATAAGGTTTCCAGCGGCCAGCGCCCTGGCCCCTATAAATCCCGTAGTTGGTCCCCTCCCCCGACCCCCCTCCAAAAAAAAAAAAAAGAATCACTCTGTTGGTATCGCAAGTGTTGGCTAAAATACTACTACTATTTTAAGGAATTGTAACTTCGTGATACTTCATGCACGTAACAGTGGTGTGGTCAACAATGTAATCCAATGTTTAATTTGCCTTTGTACTTAAGTGTGCATGTCGCAATTGTCATTGCAACTTGACAAGATAAACAATGCCTCCCTTGCCTTCCCAAGGTGAATGCATCAAACATGCCTCGAACCACTGCCTTCAGCAGATTCAGTGCAACCATTACCAACCAAACAGCTGGTTGGCCACCGCAGTGAGGCATACATGTCGTTTGTCTGGGCATGTTTAAAGATGATGGGCCACACTGCCATGCCTAAGGGATCTTGTCTAAATTTAGTTACCAACGAACACTTGCCAACTTGGTCAAATCTGCCTTAGTTTATTTACTACCAAGGCTATTAGGTACTGAAATTCTCTCATGAAAATTAATATAAGGTGGTGCACCGGTGATGCTTTGGGAAAAAAGCAAAGTCTAGAATTTACAATACCATTATCTAAAAAATATGCGTGTCTGTTCAAGATTGCAAAATAAAATTTACAGCAGACTAACAGAACCTGTTTCTTCCCATTCCTTCATGAGTAGCTGAAGGATCCCTTCACACCATCCAAGCTTTCTCCAAGGGATGATCTGAAAAGAAAAACAAATGTGGGTGTCTTGGGGACATGATCAGGTAACCAACTTCAAGGCCAGACAGTCTAGTGCTAAACAGAAAAAGAAATCCATACGATGATTATAACTATTACAACTTTGATATCTTAAAGGAAAAAATTAGAGTTTCCAAAAGAATGCCTGAAACTAGAGTTCGGAAACAGAAAAAAACAGAATGGATAATAAAAACTGCAACATGTGAATCCAAATGTGAATATATCAAGCAAAGAATCTTCTCATAGAGAACTATTATCCTAGTTTCTAGACTACAGAGACCGACTGTCCTAGTTATATACTTCTAGTTGAGTGAGGAACAGTAGGGACTAAAACTTCAGTTCTACTGCAGTCGGCAGTTTATGGAGGTTGTGTAATTTAGACAATAATCAATAGGGAAGATTAACCCAACATTTGATTGGTGGAATAAAATTGGGTGAAACTACTATGCTCACCTACCTCCACGCTATTTACCCCTTTAGACACCAAAATAGTTGCTAGATAGAATACGTCAAACTCAAAATAGTTGCTAGATAGAATACGTCAAACAAAGTTGAGTCAGATGAGGTATAATCTACCTTGTTTTTTAATTTGCTCATAGCACTTACCAAGATTTACAGATAGTTACGATAAAATTAGTAAATGAAGACTGATAAAAGGTACACTTGTATAAGGTACAAACCTTACCTTGGGTCTGAATCATTCCTACTTATTCCTGATCCCTCAACACTTAAATTTCTCTTCCTAGTCGTGCGGTTTTATTTAATTATTTGTATGTTTAGAGAGCTAGTCAACCATAAAAGGCATAGTATTCCCTCTGTCCACAAAAGAATGCAATTGTGGTATCCGTGCCGATCAATCTAGCTCAAGTTCGACCAAGTTTATAATAAATAGTACTAGTATTTACGTCTCTAAATAAATTTATTATGAAAACACATTCTATAAATAATCTAATGGTACTTATTTTGTATCATGAATGTTTGTACCTTTTTATATAAATTTAGTCAAAGATAAGACTGTTTGACTCTCGAAAGCGAGAATTGCATTCTTTTGTGGACGGAGGGAGTATCAATATCATTTCCCTTCATTTACAAATGCACCCACAATAATGCTTGTTAATATCTATGTTTCTGTCTTACAAATTTTCACCTTTACAATCTTGATCAAGGGCCTGATTCTATGATTCCAGTCAACAATAGTATCACAAGTTTATGATTCTTATGTTTAAGATCATATGATTGGGATCTTACATGGACTCCAACCCAACTTATAATCTACGATTCTTTCAATCTTCAACACAAGGCAGACCCAATTCAACATTCCAAACCCCAAACGAACATATTCGAGATGTTCTGGTAATTCTTACTTGTGCATACAGTACTTGTACTCCTGGCCTCGAACATAGTCCAACTCCCCTTCCTCAAGCTGCACAACGCAGCCAAGCAAAAAAAATCAGTAAATCAAGTATATCGCAGCTGCTGAAACCCCACATCATGATGCCACCACTCACTGGATCGCCGCCGTATATGAGGTCGTAGCACTCCGGCGAGAGGCAGCGCAGCACGCAGTTCTCCTTCTCCGTCGGCGAGGACCTGCACACCCAGCCCCACAGCCCGCTGCGGCATGGCCGAGAGAAACCACCGTCAGAACTCAGAAGCATCGCGTCAGATGCGTTCCACTGAACAGAAAACAAACAGAGAACTCATCATCCTAATACGTACTTCTCGACGTCGGTGTAGCAGGCCTCCTTCTTCTGCCGGATCTCGTTGTCCTGCACCACGAGTTCGGTCAGCGCGATGAGCTGGATAGAGACTAGAAGAGGCGGACGGAGGAGAGAAGGCAGGGCCAGGTCAGGCGGGGAGACGTACGGATATTGGGCGGCGGGAGGACTTGGCGGCGGTGGAGACGACGAGGACAGCGAGGGTGAGTACTAGAAGATAGCAGGCGGAGGGGAATCGCCGTGGATTCCGGTGGGACGGATGCGGCGGCGGCGGCCGGAAAGACATGGCGCAGTGTGGATCCCGTCAGCTGGCTAGAGCATGAGCAGTAGAGCGGACGTTGGGGCTTTGGGGCGGACGGATGTCGCGAACCTTCTGTACTGCGGCGCCTGTCTCGGTCTGGAACTGGAAGTCTGGAAACCGATCGGACATGGCAGAGGTCAAAAAATGCATTTGAACTGTTGGATCTCAAAGCGAAAAATGATGAGTTTGAAATCAGACTGTATGAATAGTTGTCATTGCTATTTACTGTACGGAGATATTGCTGTGTTTGTGATTATGTATCAGTAGCTATTATTGGCCCATCGATGAAGTTAGTCTCGCGTCAGAACTGTTGTTTGCAACAAAATCGTTAACCAATATCAAGCCCGGAAGATTACAAAACTTTGTGCAGACAAGATGCATACAGTGTACATTAGCCCATGGCCATGTTTCTTCATGTCTTTCCTCTGGGTTTTCGTCAAAACTCAAAATTGCTGCAAGTGTCTTATACATATTGGAATAATGAATCAAGAAATGGCCAATGAGAAGCAGCCCATATCATTCTATGTCACCGTTGTTAACCTGTTACTGGTACGTCTGGACACCATCCACTACAAGCAAAGCCGGCCGGGATGGGTTCTTTTCCCAGAACAAGCTTTTGCGCGGCAAAACTATGAAATGATGATCACCAAAACTGTGATGTCGTTAACGTTCAGAAATGAGGACAACAGAAATTCACTCTGGCTCTGCAGGTATTTTGGCTTGAGTTGGACGGTCAACACGCTTCCGAATGTACCTGAGTTTACTGGTTCTGCTGATTACAAATAAGAATGCTGCGGTCATGAGGAATCCTTTTAACAGCAAGGGGACAGCAGTATCAGTTCCTCGGCCAGAATTCCATCCTGGGATAATAGGTTGCACACTGATTGAAGCAAATCTCTGATCACCTTTATCATCCCTAGAATGGTATGAATGGAATTATTAAATAGCCTTATCAAAAGTGGATTCGAGTTTTATAGAATGAGGGCAATGTAGATAAGCTAGGCATCTGAACCACATATACATATGTCCTTGCCTTTAAATAGCATCCCCCACCCACAAAAAAAAAAAGAGCAATCAGAGATTCAAGAGCACCAAGTCTGTCCTTGTCGTCATGCACTAGGTACTAAAACAACTAGCTTGGCAGATCAATAAAAAGCAAATCATATTAGGCGTAATCAGTATAAGCCTACTTACATTTCATGACAAGAAAAATAATGAGAAATGATGACTACCTGAACAAATTCCAGACAGATCCCCAGAACGATCTTCTCTTTGCAGATGGATGATGGTTTCTCTCCCGAAAATTTTCTATTTTTGTAATTTCTGAATAAGACAAAGAAAAGGCACAAAACAGGCTCAGGACTCAGGAGTCAACCCATGAGACAGATGCTAACAACAATAACTCAAGAAAAAGGATTAAACTTCACCGGGAACTGAGATATTCTGAGCTTTCTTTAGTGTGGCAAGCTCTTCAACCAGCAAACGTTCCTGGCCACTGTAGAAGTCAAAATAACTGTCAGAAGTTATACACCAAAAGTCAAAACAATATGAACCGAGACCATATTTGGGATGCTAAAATGGTTTTTTTTTTCCTCGAACATGCACGAGAGCTGCGCATCATTATATTAAGAAGAGAACAAAACACAAGATCCTCCCTTACGAAAGAACCATACAAACCCATGCTAACACCATAACACAAGAAGAAATGCTTCTGCTGGACTAGATTTCCAATTATCTGTAGTTCATATTTACACTTAATTAGATGATATATGATAGATATGCCATTAAAGGATGTAATGGAAAAACAACAATGTTATAGGTTTTAGTAACCTCTGGAGGTTAAAACAACAAAATTGCTGTTTTTTTTTTTTGAACGATGCAGGAGAGCTGCACGCAATTTCATCAAGAAAACAAAAATAACTGAAGTTGGAGAAAACATCGATCAATCTCGTCAGATTGTTGATTGTAAATACAATATCCTTCCCTGAGCTATTAGAAAGTGCCAGCAATTCAAACCTGATACTCTTCGGGATCTTCACCTTTATCATGAAGTAGTGATCTCCTCTGACATTAGGCTTCTTAATGTCTGGAACTCCCAGTTGACAAAATTTTAAGTTCTCTCCAGGCTGAGTGCCAGGAGGAATGTGGAGATCCTTGAGTCCTTCTATTGTTTCAACCTGAAAACATAAACTTCCTTGCTAGGTTAAGCTGAACTGGGAGGTTTGCTAGAACTAAATGAGAATATTGCCAGAACTATGGAATTAACATAAGTTAGACTTGAGTTCATCAAACACACGTCAATTTCATATATATTTTGACAACACATGATATTGGTATACAAGGCATATTTCTTCTTAATATAATGATACATAGCTCTCCTGCATGTTTGAGAAGAAAAAAAAGGTAGACAAGGCATAATATGAATGAGGTTCCTAAAATCGCATTAACAGCTAACCTTCACTGTGGTTCCTAAAATCGCATCAGTATAATCAACTGAAACCTCTGAGTATAAATTGAGACCATCTCTGTGGATGCCTTGTTTTTCATTAATGCGAACAAATATATACAGGTCACCACTTGCACCCCTGCACAATAAGATAGAAATGCATAACATGTAATGGTTACATCTATTACCATAGGTGGATCTTAAATCGTTAGCATGTAATTCTGGTGGGTGTCTATTTAAAAGAGATAGGTGTGGTCATGGACCCATTTTAGTAACAACTGAAATGGGTTTAACATATCATCCAGGTGGTATTACTCAGTTATGCAACTCAATCACCACCTTGCCATCTCGTAAAAGCTTTAAAAAAGTTACACTCAAATCAAACATATAACAAACTACACAAATGATGCATGACCAAGATATTATATAACAGCTGACCAATGCTTGCCTTTGCTTATCAGAATTACCTCCACCACTAATTCGAATGGTGGAGCCATCATCAATACCTCCAGGTATATCTACTTTGATAATGCGTTCAACTGGGACTCTGCCCGAACCGTAACATTCTCGCAATGTTCAGTAATTACCTTCCGCTGCCTTCACAATTTAAGCATGAAGATATCTACAGAATACAACAACATAAGATATTGCATAAGCTATATTATGTTGAACTTCAGGAAATAAAACTATAAAAAATGAGCAAACAGTAAGTTAACAACAATGTTAAATAGGTTACACGGACCAAGTAATATCACACATTTTGTTGCTGGTTCTTCTCATTTGGATTTAACCAAAAAAAAGAAGATGATGAATCCATTAATAACATTTTCATGGGAGAATGTACAGTCGTGGTTAAAGACTTAAAGTATTAGAAGTTGTTCTAAGACGACAGTTTGTACTGGTAGTATAAGTAAATTTAGGATCCATGATAGTAAGGAACATTGGTCCAACTAGCAATGGAGGTGAATATAGAAAATAACTGACAAACAATATTTCATGAAGAAATAACTACACCTGAGAAACTGTACCAAAAGGTGTCCTTTGAGTTTTCATCAACCTGCCTTGACCTCTGCATCGGGTGCATTCTGTAATGTCATTGCTACATTTAGCTCCAGTTCCATGGCAGGTGCCACAAGTTTCATGACGAAAATATTGATTTCACGTTTGACTCGAGGATGGATTCTTCAAAAGAAAGGAGCAGATTATAGCTGTAAAGTAGAAAATAAGCTGTAAACAGCTATTCAAGATCTAACATTCTGATATGGTGCTAAGTTGAAATTGTTACCTGATATTAAGTGCCCTATTGCCCTTTGCTTCTGCACTACAATGAAATCCTCCAGAGCCCATACTATCCCCAAAAAGCTTGTCAGAACCACCAAAGAATGCATTGAAGAGTTCATATGGATCAATCTGCAAAATCAAAAAAAAAATTACAAAGGTCAAGTCAATCAAAAATTTCAAACTATATTAAAAGGCCCTAGAGCCTAGTTTTTTTTTAAAAAAAAAATTCAAACTATGACTTCTCTATTAACTAGCAGTTTTCCATTTTCTCAATCAATGGAAATCAGGCTGATGTAGAAGTAGAGTTTCTGAGTTCAAAACATTCGCTTAAGGTAAGGTGAGAAGCCAGTCTATAAGTCCATCCATAAGAACATCAAGTTAAACAGTTCTTACTGCTATTACATTAACTGGTGGGCATAAATGCACTTTACCAACAAAGAGGATGTTGGCTAGAGAAAAAGAGCATCTAAAGGAAAATAAATTTATATCCCAATATAGGAATCAAACTGGTCAAAAAGGAAAATGACTTAGTGCTAAATAAATTGTGTACCCCATGTGTGCCAATATCATCTCTGTAATCACCACTGAGCCCCTCTTCTCCAAAGCGGTCATATAAAGATCTTTTATCTTGATCAGATAGAACCTGAAGAAGATAATAGTACAGATCACATAAAAGGATGGTCATCTGATAGCATCATCAAATACTACCTGCGGTCAATATCAATTGAAATTTCAGGCAGCCAAGTTGTCCTGAAGTTAGTTGTATTTTGCTGTAAGAAATGTAAAGTAATAATGACTGGAGGGAGTATCATCACATTTGTAAGTGTTCTGCTCATATATATTCTGTAGAAGCAGCCAAGTGAACTAACCACATTCTAAATACACTGGTTAAATACAAAGTAAATTTCATTACGATTCCAGGATATTGTTGATAAACCAGGTTTGTAACGTTTCACTGCCTTCCTTTAAGATGCAACTCAAACTCTATCAGATAAAGGGGCATAAACCAGAAATTAAGTACACAACAATCATGGTGAGATCATGAGACATGTAGAGAGCCTATCATTTTTTGAAGTAAAAGGTCTTGCAAAAACTTTAAGGAATTGTCGCTCCAGTTCGGTTTACATCACATTTTACACAAGACATGTCTGCATTGATAGAGTAGATTAATGTCTATCATTTAAGTAATACCAAAATCACAGATAAATTAATCTAATACTAAGCACGTTCTAGTGCTATTCTCCTTCAGCACTTCAGCTGAAGCCACAAGGCAGAAGATTACCTCATATGCAGCACTGATCTCCTTGAACTTCTCTTCTGCTTCAGGACTCTTATTCATATCAGGATGGTACTGTAGCCGAAAGCAAACCAGGGAAATATGTTCAATGTATGTAGCTTTGGCACTAATAACTATAAACATGTCAAAAACTGATCCAACACAGCATGAGTGAGAAGCACCAAGAACAAAAATGACAAATTTGGAGTTTGCTTTGTAAACCCTTAAAAAATGCTACTACTTCCCAGCATTAGGATCTAGAAAATATGCAGATGGCTCAAATTAATAACCGTAGGGAAATTAATACAACGCAACACCAATCTAAACGCGGTAGGAAGGGGAAGGGAAAGCGAATAGCACCTTGCGGGCGAGAATCCGGTAGGCAGCCTTGATCTCCTGGAGCGTGGCGTCGCGGCGGATGTTCAGCGTGGCGTAGTGGTCCTTCTCTTTACGCCCGGCCACAGGCGATCCCCTCCCGAACGCGGCGGGGCGATAGGTCCTAGAGCGGGCATGGCGGGGGAGGCGGAGCGGGAAGTGGAGCTTTCCGGAGGTGGAAGCCGGCGCAGGTTGCCGGAGAGTGCTAGCGGGACTAGGCGTGGAGTTTGGGTTTGCGGGCAGGAAGAGCGCGGTGGCCGACATGGAACCGGAGGTTGGCCAACGCGCCGCCGCCCGTGCGGGGAACATTTCGTCTTCCTGTACAGATAGTACATGTTTTCCTCTTTCTTTTTCCTTTTTGCCGTGTTTTTTTATTAGACAGAGAAAATAAAAAGATAAATACCAGCCTAACCTTTTAGTCACACCGTCTTAAAAACTAGGAAGAGTACATCACTCATCCTACACAATTTTGATTCATCGACCGACAACTATCAACTTCACGCCACTAGTTCTTAGATGAACTATCGTGAGTTTACTTAGGTAAAATCCCAACAAGCAACTCAACTACACTAGCATATACTCTCTTCGTTTTAAATTATTTACGAGTGCATCATTCATCCTGTACAATTTCAATTCACCGACCGAACAACTAACAACTTTACGCCACTAATTGCTTAGATGGACTACCCTGAGCTAACTTAATCGAAGCGACCTAACGAGTAACTCAATTACACTGACATCTACTTCATCATATTATAAGTTGTCTTGGTCTTTGTAATTGTTTGAAAGTATACCGAATGGTAAAACCTATACCTAGGAGCGAAGTTATAGTATGACTTGGGGTGCACATGCACCCCAAAAATTCAAAAATCAGTTATAATAACTAATTTTTCATCATATATGCACTCTTCATGGCACAAGTCTTTACACTCACAAGGCAAGTGTACCTCCTTCAATTTTCTCTAGCTTCGCCATTGCCTATGCCATTGTAAACTTGTAATGGTATGTAGCAGTTGTTAAATGTTTTAATGGTACATCTATGGTAATACAATCTTTTAATGCTACAAGACTAATTTTCCAATTGGTTGCCCGGTAGCCAGATGAACTAATGAAAAGACAGTATGTGCAATGTTTCAAATTCTACACACAAAAATGCAGTTTTAAATAAAATAAACAGAAATCATTTTTTTGTTGCCTTATTATTTATTGGAATCGAGCGTTTTAGATAGACTATACAGCCTTATTTTTACAGCCATGATATTGCCATGATAGAATATACATCCATTTTTACAGATAATTTGAGTCCCTTGAGGTGGTGGTTCACTTATCAATCAAATGCCTTGTATTGCCTTGTTGTAAGTACGGTTGCATAAAATGGATGGTGCGTCAAGCATCTTTTTTCTTGTATACAAGGGGTACTGTTGGCAAATGTTGCCAAACAATGCCTTTGTTCACAGTGAATAATGGCTATTGACGTCTTTCAAGACCAACATGACAGTTCTGCCCATCACTTTTAAACGCACATTTTTCCACGTGAACACTAGAAAACACAGGCGTAATTCAGTACCTGTGTGAGACAAAAGGAGAAGAAACTGGTGGCACAACACACATATAAACCATTATAAAAAAAACACATATAAACAAATCTCAACACACAAAGTTAATGACGGTTGGACAAAGCCGAAGCATCTGTTATTTGAACACGACCATTGGTATAATCTGGTAGTTTTGTACTGCCAGCCCTTTTTTGAGCTGTACAATGCTCAGCATTCAGGACGACTTCTTGTTGTTATTGTCTTGCAGTCGCTCAAATAGGCTCCCATCAAATAGACCACGGACAGTTTCACGCTGCAAGAGGCCATCCTTGTCTTTTGCCAAGCTGTAGAGTAAGAACCATTCACCGGCAGCGGCCATCCTGAAGGGGCAAGATCACACGACATTCGGAAAATACAAGCATTAGAACAGGACATTTGAAAGCAACTTCTTGTGCAAAAAATGAATTATCAAAAATAGGAAAATTGGGCTAACCCGAGAACGGTTTAAAATAGAACTGGTAGACGCAAACATTGATAGTTGAACTATGTCTTACCAGCCAGGGAAATCATACGTATTGCGGTTTCCTTGAAGCATTGAGCCCAACTCGTCTCTTGTCAAAGCATTAGGATGAGTTCGACCATACTTGCTAAATATAGCATCGAACTTTGATGGATCAAACCTGTGCACAATTAAAGCAAGTACAGACTAGTTATGGCTGGATCGGCATTAAACCTTTGGTCATAGACTGAGACAGTAATGAGTGTGTTATGCGTACTAGTGTACTATACATACCTCCCTTCGGTGTCATAAGTTTCAGAATCACTCCCGTGCTTACCCTTGTGGATGTTCTTTATATGGATGGACAGCAAAGGAGAAGGTAACCATCCCTAAATTCAGAAAGAGCATCTGATTACAAGAGCTTTTCTTTTGCAAAGAGATTGACAAGACTTGTCTTTCTCCTTTAATAAATACTAATAAAAAAGGAAGTGGCGAGACAGCCAAGACTCTTCCAGAGCTGAATGTCATGAGGGGTGGTGCTGCCCAGTAACGCAAAGGTACCGCAGATTTCAGAAAGGAAACATGCAGGTACATGAAAGAGGCCGAGAGAGAACGTTACCGGCTGAGTGGGATAACTGAGGAAGAGGTTGATCAGTATCGAGCCCATGAATGATAGCGGGGAGTCCACATCCTATTGCTCGCAGGCCTGAAAGTAGACAGACACGACAGAAAATTCAAATCCTAAGCAGCTGAATCAGTACCGATTCAGCAGCAGTGCTGAAAGTAGTAGTGACTACTGCTCGATGGGCCAAAAAAAAAGTACCGATTCAGCAGCAGTAGGGTTTAGGATTTGAATTCTGTCAGTGTCTGTCTGAAAATTCAAATCCTTTTGAAAGTAGTAGACAGACACAGACAGAAAATCCTAAGCCCATCGAGCAAAAGTCAGACAGACACTGACAACACAAACATCATCGGTGCTACTACTGCTGAATCAGTCACACAGCCTTCTCTCATCAGCTAGCACTGCCATCCCAGTGATGACTGATCAACCAACCGTGCCACGTACCTTGAAACGTCTCCCATGGGTAGATGACGCCGTCGCCGTTGCGGTCGAAGAAGGCGGCGTGCTGCTGAAGCACGCTCATGCCGCGGGGGTCGCGCCCCTTGGTCCCCTGCGGGTGGCTTGGGTCCACCGCTTCGAGAGCTCTCGCGAGATCTGCGAACCGGGAGAGAGGGACAAAAAGAAAACGGAATCAATGCACTATAGCTGGATTACGACTCTCTCAAACAAGGAAACAGGTAGCGCTGTCTCCATGCGTATTTTGCTGTAGAGTTGTAGTGGCTGTTAGTCGGTGTCATAGTTTGCCACAACGATCATGAACCAAAATTCACGGTGTGATCACGAACGAAACAGGCCCGTAGCCACAACGATCATCATGATCATGAACCAAAATTCACGGGGTGATCACGAACCGAACAAACCCATAACCACAACGACCATCATACAGGCTGACAGGCAATCGTACAGGCTGACAGGCAACAGAAAAGTGGAGGAAGCAGAGATCGAGGTGCGTACATGGCTTTGGGAGCTGCTCCTGCAGATCGGGGTTGAGCCTCCGCTCCCGGGTGACGGGCGCGTTGGGTGCCTCCGTGTCCAGGGACTGGTCCGGCGGCGGCGGGGGCGGCGACGAGTACGACGACATGGTCACTCTCGGGCTGAACTCGCAACAGGATCTGCGGATCGAACAACAAAACGAAACAAATCGGTTCGGCGAGTGGATGAAACGAAACGACGGACGCCCGCAGAGAGTAAAAGAGGAATCAACCGGAACCGAGGCCGCCAAATTAAAGCGCGGATGCGATGCGCGGGGCAGGAAGGAGTATCAGGTACCTTCGGAGGTGGAGAACGGCGAGACGGGGGCTCCGGGCGGACAGGCTCGAAACGAGTTGCACACACAGACTCAGAGTCATGTGCTACTAGCTGCTGATGGTATATGTCTCAACGTGCGCTCTGCTTGCTTTTTATAAAGCTTCGCGGCGCGGCAACTGAAGCACCGCTCACGCAGGCGCAGGCGGTGCCGGTGCACCGTCCGCCTCGTCCACACGGAGAACAGCGCACAGGGCCAAGCGCACGTGGACGGCCGCGGGAGGCACCACGACAAGCACAGATTGTTGCCAAAAAGAAACCCTCAGAAAGTGGTAACGTGTCATCGTTAGGATAGAAACCCGTCCGTCGTCCGAGCCCGAAGAAGGGAAACCTCCACCGAAACAGTGTGCTAGGACCTCGTCACGACGCAGTCTGGACTGCATTGCGATGTCTGATTTTCCAATCCTTGATCCGGGCTACAACGACTCGATAAACTGGGCACGCACGGCCGGTGTGTCATGTGTGAGTGACGCGATCTCCTTGCTTGTGGGAGTTGTGACTTTGATTTGCATTGACGTGCATGGACATGCTGCCGTCCCCAAATCATTTTCATTTTCATTTTCATTAGGGCAGCTCCAGTCCTAACATCGAACCGAGACTGACACAGGTAAGTTGAAAATCGATTTTGGAGATGGTTCGGTCCTCCTAGTGCGAGCATCGGTTAATGGGGTCCATGAAACAATTAAAAAGTACTACTCCATATGCACTTTCCTTGCTTTAGCTGCATGTGCAAGTGACTTAGGAGCTGTGCTTCGTTTTTTATTGTCCATGGTGCGAACCGAAAGTAGGAGTTGCTTTTGCTCTGACATCCCACGGTTCGATGTCTGCAGTGTGCTCGGTTCGGTAATCGAACATCCAGCTCAGCTCATGGTTCAATATGAAGATACACTGGAGCTGCTCTTAGGCTTTTGGCACTTTGGCAAGGGACCAGGGGTACATATTCGTGTCGCGGTAGCAACTAATATCGAATGGTGAACGGCTTTTCGCTTTTCGCTTTGCACGTTTCCTGCTTGTCCCCCGCAATCGTTCTCACCCCACCCACAGGCGGAACCAGGAGGGCCAGCCGGGTCCGTGCCCACCTCCCCCCCGACACAGTGAAACTTTGTTAAATATCCTTATAAAGTTTGTTAATTTATAGCAACAAATACAACAATTAATCTATTTTAAATCATAATATTGTGAAAATACGACAATTCATCTATTTTTCGTTATGAATGCGACTGTACATGCAAAAGCACGAAAAAATGTTGAAATATACACTTATATGTGTCATTATATTTGTCCAACCCCCCTTAATTACTGGTTCCACCTCTGACCCCACCACCACCGCCACCACAATTTTAGTAGTGCTACTACTACCTTTTAACCTCAGAAAATATGAATGGGTCCGACGATTGAACAAAAGGGTACTTAGGTTTCCAAACTCGGACTCTCGGAGGGTGTAGGGTGTACATCTCAACGTTTGTGGCGTGCCGGTGCCGTGCGGCGAGTGGGAGGATGGACGTGTCAGTTCCTGATGCTGGCTGCCTCGGTCAATTTTATCGTCGTTTCCATGTCACGTACTCACGTGCCAAAATGTGGGGGCATTTTTCTGGTTCGTATACTCGCTCGGTCCTAAGATATATTTAAGTTATTCTTAAACAAACCATTCTAATAATTTTGATCAAATTTATAGAAAATAATAATAATATTTATGACATCAAATGAGCTTCATTAGATATATATTTTTGCAAACCGAGCTTCATTAGATATATTATATTGTGTATTTTCATAATTTACTTCTTTTGATTGATAGAAAACAATATTCTTCTGCATAAACCTAGTCAATCTTAATATGATTTGACTTAATTAGGATAACTAAGAATCCTTTATATTTTGGGATCGAGACAACCTCAAACATGCTTATTCATGCTAAGAAATACGTAGTATAGTACTGATGTCAGACGTGGCAAAAATAGAGCCTTTAAGATGTGGCTTTTCTCAGAGGGAACAAGAATAGAAGTGGAGCCTTAAGATGTGGCTTTTCTCAGAGGGAACAAGAATAGAAGTGGAGCCTTAAGATGTGGCTTTTCTCAAAGGGAACAAGAATAGAAGTGGAGCCTTAAAATGTGGATTTTCTCAAAAGAAAAAAATAGATTTTTTTCGGACATAGACACACGTACATGCATATACACTCATCCCTATAAACGTATGAGCACACAACTTACTCCTAAGAGGAGAGACTGGTCCCCAATTGATGAAGTCAACAACGCGATAATCCTAGAAATATGAGCATCTATGTCAAGCCGAGGACTTGAATTTAGACCTGTTGAAAAAGTTCCACCACAAGTAATCCTAGAAATATGAGCATCTATGTCAAGCCGGGGACTTGAATTTAGACCTATTGAAAAAGTTCCACCACAAATAACCTAACCAGTTATATACGTAACAAACGAATAGAATTTCCCTACGAGTCACATGTAAGAAGGTGTGGTGGTCTAGTGGTGGCCGATGGATTGAAATCCAAATATAAATAGACAAGTCCAATTGAAATCCAAATCCATCCTACAAAGACTAGCTTGTAAATGTGTCATGGTCTTGTGCGTGTTCGGTTCCTTGTTGTACGTAATCTGATCAACAAATTCAGAGATTACAGAGACCAGGAGATAAGGTTAGCAGATGAATAATAAGCTTGATGTAACAAGTAGTCACAACTATCTCCTGGCCGGCACTTGAGTATGTTGCATCCACTTTTGGTGCAAGATTCCTATTATAGAGATTGCTTACCGGAGCATATGACACGACCGTTACCTAAATCTCCAAGCCACAAATCATTCAAGTGACATCATAACAAGGTTGTTCAAGTGATCACATGCGACAAGGTATATCGTTCCATTGCAATGCAAGGACTTGTTTGCTTGTCTATACCTAATATCGTGCTCTTATTTCCTCGCATAATTTGAACTCAAAACTCAACTTATACATGGAGAAACAAAAAAAAAGAATCTCATTTGGATTATTGGATCAATTGAGATAGTTTAGTAGAGTATATTGAGCTAAAATCTTGTTTTCAGAGATCAAACAGATTGTTGATTTTACTATAGTAAAGAAGACCTTTTTCTTCTTAAATATTCAACCCTAGATCACACTAATAAAGTAGGGCCCACATAAAAAAATTGGGTACCTAATTTTTCTTGTTTCTACACAATCTTCTCTTAGGAAATAGACACAAACTCCTTGCACTCAAGTCATTGAGTTTAGAAGCTGTGTACTTGATGCAAATTAGTGGGTCCTTGAATATCTAAAAGCACCTAGGCTACTAATTCAGCTTTGATGATTAATGGTCAAAACTTATTATGACTAATGTGTACTTTTTAGAAGGTATTAGCTTTAAATTTGTTCTTTAAAGCTAATACCAATTTGACCGGACACAAATTCAAACAATAATGTTACATAATTCAAATTTAAACAACATTGTTTATCATATCACATAATTCATCAGAATATTAAGTCCACAAACATAAAACATAGCAATACAACAATTCTCTCCTCCATTACCATCAATCCAATCACCACCACTAGCCTCTACCTCAACCCATTACACCACTTGATCCACCGCAGTTGTTGTTGAATGCCGCCACCCGTCGAGCCCATGCTTGCACATCCAGTTCTAATGTCAGGAAGGGTGCGCGGACGATGGAGGCTGCCAGGGAAGCGCGTGCAAGTGTTGGAGACCATTGGGAAGGGCATGCGACAGGACATGTGGCCAGGGGAGGGCGCACAAGTGGTGGAGGTAGTCAAGAAAGGGCATATGGTGGTGGAGCTGACCGGGGAAGGTCCCGCAGGTGGTGGAGCTGGATGGGGAAAGGTGTGGTGGTTGAAGAGCATGCTGAGGAATGGTTCTAGTCGATGGGGACGGCGGAAGGGACGGCGGAAGGGGCGGAGGTGATCGGGCACAAGTTAGATTCGGATGAGAGCAGGGAGGGAAACGGTGGAAAATAGAAAAGTAGTGGCAAGAACGAGGGAGAGTCTCCTACTTTTGGGAGCCTCAATAAGGAGTCAATGTTGGAGTGAGTCTTTTTGTCTACTAACACCTAAAGTGAGGCCTAAGTAAAGAAGTCTTACTAGAAATGCTCTCAATGCCTGTCTCTTGCTCACTCCTATTCATGGATTTTTTTTTCGTTTTTCATGCCCATTTTGAACACATGAGCTTCAGAAAAAAAAGATTACAAGAGAAGTTTACTAGACATGGTATAAACATGAGAAGGCCTTGACTCTTAAATAATCACATATAGCACTGCACGAATAGATAAGGATGACAATGATTGCACTATAAGAATGTATATACTACAATATAAAATCATTTCTTATTTGAAGACGACTCAAAATTACCCTTTTTAAAAAAATTACGCAGGACAAGTATAACATGCTAATTTTTCTATCGACAATCTTCTTGAGGTGGACAACTCCTGTCTGGCCCATTCATCAGGAGGATTTTTTGCTGTCTTGCAGTCGCTCAAATAGACTCGCGTCGAACACGCCCCGGACAGTTTCTCGCTGCAACAGACCATCTTTGTCCTTTGCCACGCTGTAGAGTAAATGCCATTCACCGATAGCAGCGATCCTGTGGATACACGATGTAATCTTTCAATCTGATACTTTGGGAACAAAACTTTTAAGCGCGACTACAAATATATCTATAGTAAATAGACAATCAATGGCAAAAGAAAAGAGATAAGGGAAAAAGCTTAAAGTTTTGAAATGTACTCTGAAATACACAGCCCTTTTAAAATATATATGGCAAAATTGAATTTATGTTCAAACTTTAATCAACGATATTTATTCAATAGGTAGAGTGAAATAAATATTACTAGATCTGTCATGCAAAGTACTTTAAGTATGCATTGTAAGTTTGCTTATTTGCACAAATGTCTATAGAAAAGACGAATATCAAACGAATGAAAAAGGTAAACAGTGTCATACGTTTAAAAATGGAGGGAGTATTATACCATCAATCTACTATACGTTAGAATTTGAAAATATTACTTAGATGCTGTCAAGACTCAAGTGTACAATTTTTCCCAATAATCGAGTGTAGACATCAACGTTTTATTAAAAAAACACTACCCATTATTATAAAACAGTAACTGAAAATTGGTTAATTTAAGAATAGTACTTCTCAAGCATGTCGTTCTTACCAGCCAAGGAAATCATATATATTGCGGTTTGCCTTAAGCATCAAGTTCATCTCGTCTTTTGTCAACGCATCTGGATGAATACGACCATACTTGCTAAATATAGCATCGAATTTTGATGGATCAAACCTGAACAAGATCAAGTTAAAAGAAAACTAGTTACATTTAAAGAGAGATTTTATGTCAAGAATGACTTTAAATTTGTGGCCTTTCAGAAGAGAATAAGCAAGACATACCTCCCTTCAGTGTCATACGTTTCAGAATCACTCCCGTGTTTAGCCTTATGAATGTTCTTTATATGGACGGAGAGCAAAAGGGAGGGTAACCATCCCTACATTCAAAGAGAACATATCTGTTTTAGTAAAATGCGCCACCGATCTTTGAACTTAGCTCAAACTTCAAAAATAGGATAACCATGTGAATATCCAAGGTCATTTGAAAAACAAAAAAAAAATATTCCAAAATTTGAGAACTTAAAATGAATATTAGGCCTCTAACCTTCTCAAGTATAAAAGTTGTTAACTACAAGTTATAAATCGTGTGGAGCTCTACAGCTTTGATGTAATATATATCTGTCTTCATCAAACTTTATACGAAAAATTATGAATTGTTTTCCAAAACAGCCTTTGAAAATAGCCTCATTTATAGAGACCCGACTCTAAAATTGGATTTATAAAGGTGGATCTTGACCATTAGGTCTTTAGATGATCTATAGAGACCACGGATCAAAGAGGCTTATTATAACAATAAAATTCAATTTCTCCTAAAATTGTTTCTTTTTTGTAGTGGGAGTCACACCAAGCACATAGATGTCACAATGGATTACTTGTTGAAAATCTAGTTACACATACGTTGTTATTAAAACTTTGGATTCAAAAGGATAAATAAAATATAAAATAAAGAAAAAAATGGCCTCCTCCTGCTTGTTCGTTAAGAAAAAAGAATGTCTAAAGCTAGATCACCAGTCTAGCAAAGCTGCTGCGGAACAGCCAAAATCAAAACATGTAGAGAGGTCCACAGAAGGTTACCGGCTGAGTGGGATAACTCATGACGAGGTTGATGAGGAACCCGAAAACGAGGGATGTAAAGAACCCACACCCTATTGCTCGCATGCCTGAAAATCATGGAGGCAAAGCAGATTAAAGGATCACTGCAACAGCGGAATCGATGAAATAATCTTCTCCTGTCGATCGATTGCTAATTTATGTACTACCACTGGCAGAGAAGACGATTTTGCTCTGCACGCGGCTCCGCTCTGCGGCCCACAGACTTTACCAGCATGAAAACATGCATGTTATGTCATTTGGGTGATTCGATCGATCAGGTGGTGGTCACCTCACCTACCTTTGAAAGTCTCCCAGGGGTAGACGATGCCGTCGCCGTTGCGGTCGAAGAAGGCCACGTGCTGCTGGAGCACGCTCATTCCGCGGGGGTCGCGCCCCTCGGTCCCGTTCGGATGGTCCGCGTCCACCGCCACCATTGCCCTCGCGAGATCTGCGGGGACAGGGACACGGAAACAATGAGCTAGTGCGCTCTGCCTGAGCTGCATCATGTTTCGTTGTCATGTACTACTAGTGCAGTGCATGCAGTTAGTGCAGAACACAGCTGAGCTGCCAGATTAAGGCGGCGGCGTTGATGAAAGATTGGAAGTTGCTATGCTTACATGGCTTGGGAAGCTGCTCCTGCAGGTCGGGGTTGAGCTTGCGCTCCCTCGTCACGGCAGCCTGGGGTGCCTCCGTCTCCAGAGACGAGACGGCGACCGACGACGGCGACGCCATGCTCGCCCGCTCGCGCTTAGAGTTCGCGAGATCCGCAGACCAAACCAAGGAGAACCGGGATTTGGAGAAGGAGAGTGCAGCCACAAGCCCACAAGCAGGGAAAGGAGGGCGTTAGGATGCACGACGACGCAGGACGGATCGGGAGCCGGCGTCGGTGACTATAGAAAATCTCTCAACAGACAACTAAAGCTCCCTATATACTGTACCTTGGGAGCTGGAGAAAGGTGCCGAGACGGTTCTCTCTGCGCCGTGTCCACCCGGCAGCAGCGCACAGGGCGCGCGAACTACACGTGGTGGACAGCAGCGCCACGCATTGATCGCAAAAACAAACTTGCACAAGTACAACGCGCGAGATAGAAACGGTGTTCGAAAAGATGATGATGACGCGGGTCCCTCCACTGATGATAGAGTGAATCAGCAGTTCGTGCTGGACCTCGGGCAGGTGCAGGGCGCAAAACGTACCTCTTCGCCTCCATTCACGTCATCGATCGCCGATTCTGCTTTGTCCAATCAGATTTGAGATCACCCCAAACCCAGAATCGATTAGCTGTCTGGGTGGTTACCGAAGGCGATCAGCTCACATGGCCTCCGTGTGTGTGAGTCCAAGAGACGTCAGAGTCAGACGCGATCTCCTCGCTTGTACGATTGGGAGTGCCGTGTGCGGAGTGTATGGAGGTCACGATGGCACCGTCCAAGAACTGTTATATTATAGTATAAGCTCTTGGCAGAGATAGAAATTCGTGGTTTGTACCATCTTTTCTTTAAAAGCCAGGTTTGTACCATTTGGAGTCAAATAGCTAATGGCCTCCCATGCATTGCATGCATGTTGCCCAGCTGGGTCCTTCGGCGCATACGCGTCTTCCCAATCTGTTTTCTTGGAGCCGGCCCGGAGATCTGGCCAGAACAGATCCAAATTGTTAAATAAACAAAGCACCGCGAGGCGGGCGAGCGACGTTAAACAATGGCAGCTGAGATTTCGAAAGCTGGGGACTGCGGGAGCGTACGTCTTGAGTTATCATCATCGAAAACCTCGCTGGGAAGAGTTGGGTGCGGGGCTGCGGGCGTGCGGCGACGGACTGCGCGTGGCGTCTTGCCGAGAAGCGGCGACGACGCTGGAAAGAGACGTGTCTGTTTCGTTGTACGTCGTACATGTACAAAGACATAGACCAAGGGCGTTTCTGAAGCCTAAAAGGTCCAATTTAAATCTAATACGTAGTTCATCGTGGCAATCGGTGTTTCTACGTATGTTCACCGTGCCTCTTGCCTCTCGTGACCGGCGAATCAAGAAAAGATACACTTAATGTTCTACTTTTAATTGATCGTTTATCCTCAATCAGTCTACGATAATAAGTCTATCTACTACACAACTATATGTTTTATACAGTTTCAACACATGAATTTTTTTACACTATAGGATTAAGATCCAACAGCCTCCACCCTTCTTCTACCTCCAGCCTCCAGCTTCCACAGATCACAGATCACAGATCACAATTTTTTTTATGGACGGACAAATCACAGATCCGCCGTCGCCACCACTGCCATGGCCGACGCGGGCGCGGGCGCCGCCGCCACCGCCACTGCCATGGCAGGTGCGGGCGCGGGTGCAGGCACCGGGCCGAGCTCGCCAGTCGCCGTTGTCGACGCCGGTGGTCACCGGTGAGAAAGAGAGAGAGATAAAAAAAATCCATGTGTTTTTTTTTTCTAAAACATATGTGTTGTATAGCATTTCTGATAATAATATACTTCATTTTTATGCAATACATTATAGTTTACATTTGTTACTATTTTATTTTGGAATAACTAGTGTCCGAGTCTAGACATGGCTCGCGCTAATAGGCGGGAGACCGCGCCGCACGCAAAAGGAGCCCGCGCCACCTGTTTTTGCGACCCACCACATGGACCCCTGCTGCTTCCTCGCCCTGACCGTCACACTCGTTCTGTTTTCACGTTTCGTTTGCACGCAAGACCGCCCACGCTGCTTCCTGCCCTGACCGCCGCGCCGGCATGTGAGAACCCACATTGGTCCCAGGCACCTGCCCCACCTGTAGATGTGTGTTGTGGATGTGTTTGCTGTCCTCAGGCGACACACGGTGACCCATGGCGGCGCCTCAGCAGCTGCAGCAGGCAACTGCGGCAAGTGGGTCCCATTGCAACATGTGCAACACGAGATCCACTTTTGCAACATATAGATGAAACACTTGCAATATATGTCTAAAACAACTGAAGCACGTGCAAACATACGTCTAAAACACTTGCAAATCACTTCAAAGCCATTGCAAACACATGCAACATCCAGATATACTTTTGCAACATCCAGATAAAACACTTGCAACATACATATGAAACACCTGGAACACATGAAACATACACTTGCAACATGCATGTTATGCAACATCCAGATCTACTTCTGCAACATTCAAATAAAATACTTGAAACATACGTCTGGAACACTTGAAACATACGCTTGCAACATGCATATATAGCCATTGCAACATATGTAATATCCACATAAAACACTTAAAAACAAACATTTGAAACACTTGAAACACGGCACCGCCAACAGAGGGGAGGCTGGGGTCGGTCTATTCTGGCCGTCGGACTAGGAGCCGGCGGACACGAGCACCACTAGCATCGCCTGCTCTCGTGGGTGCCCTTGGCTCGTCCAGGGACGACCTAAGGTGCCCCGGCACGTGCGCCCAGCGGCCATTGGCAAGGGCAGCGGTGGCGGTCCATGTCGGTGAGGCATCCTAGTGGTGTTGAGGTTAGGGAAGAGGCTGGGGAGGTGCTGCACGAACAGAGAGAACCAAGCCCCATGAATGGAAGCTCGACTAATATTATCGACTCTCAAACACTAGCTCCTTTTTTTACATTCAACTTGGGTCATGGGCGGATCTAGCACCGAGCAAGGTGTGCTTGAGTCTCTGCAACCACTACTCAAAGCATGGAGCTCCTCCTAAACGCTCCTTACAAATGGGTACCTATGGAAGCTTGAAAGAAGGGGTTACAGTTGGAAGATAATGGGAAAAGCTCCTCCCAACTTATTTTTCTAAATCCGCCCCTGGCTTGGGTGTATTAAACAATGTAAAACTAAGAACTGAGTCATACATTTACCAGAAATTATTTTGATTCACAGAATACAGTTTGTGAAATAACAATTAACTTTTTCTGAATACTTATATAGATGCCTATCTATATGCTGAATTGGCAGAATTGGCGTCGTCACCATTAACTGGTGTTGTATTCTCTGTTGCATAGGACGTCCAAGTGTATATGGTCTCCCCAAAATGCCGCGCATCCTCAGCCCCGTCGAGGCCGCTCTGATCGTGCTTCCGGGGCTGCGCTACATCGTGAGGCTGCGCCTGGTCGTGTTCCAGGATTGGAACGCGCCGCCTGCGTCCCCTGCGGACGATGGCCATGATGGGGGTGATGCTGATGAAGACGACGGTCCAAGCGATGGCAACTTCCACCACGGGGTTCATGACGGGTGCGGCGGCCCACCGCGGGGGCCGACCCCCGAGGATGACTACTCCGGCGAGCGCGACAGCGACAATGATGGCTCCACCGACAGCAACTTTAACCGCTATCATCCTGGGATCAACCGTCGTCGTTGTGGTCGCTCGTCGTCGTCTTGCCTGACCGCCTTGGCACGACCGTCCGTACTGGTCGAGACGATTTGTTGCCCGCTGGTCCCTGGCAGGCATGGGCTCATGCGTGCGGGAGTCCATCACTGTCGGACACTGCTCCACACCCCGCTGACGTATCTCCTTTTCAGTTGACTTCCACGCCGGCCACACCGGTCGCTGTTGCGCTGACTTCTGCCTCGGGTGCCAAGGGCGTCTGTCGGCTGCTGGTACCGCCAAGCCTATCTCCTATGCTGCTGCGTGCGCCTGAAGGCACTTCGGCTAGCATTGTGGGCCGCTTACTCGCAGCCGACCCGCAGCTACTCCATGGGGGCCATGTCATCTAGGCGTCCCCCTATTTGGTGTCCCCTGAGGACTGGTGGGCTCATTGCATCGAGACCGAGCTCGCAGGCCCAACCTAGACGGCGCCGAGGCCTGATCATGTGAGGACGCCACCTAGGCTTACTGCACTGCCTGCTGCCTCTCCCCCCGAGCCTAGGCAACACGCGGCAGCATCGGCGGCGGTGTCGACTGCGGCGGTGCTGGCTCCGGCAACACCGCGGGAGATCTCAAGGTGCCTCCAGTCGCAGCTATGCTCCGTCATCACGGAGCCTATTCTAGTTGAGCCCCACGGCTACGTGCCCCTAGGAGGCGCCGTGTGGTGGACAACACGCTCTCACCTCCGTGTCGGAGCGGCAAGCTCGCAACCAAGAGCAGATGCAGGGCACCCAACCCAACGGTGCAGGCACAGAACGTGTTGATGGCCAAGTGGGGAGAACAGCCGCAGCTACCGGCTGCACAGACTGGAGCGGACGGCGAGTTCGATGAGTACCTAGCCCTGTTCAGTGGGCCCCTCTCGGAGTCCAAGCGGGAAGCGATTAGGATGTTGTTCCCGGCCGGTTGTGCGATCGATGGCATCCAGCTTGTCGAGGGGGCCAAGCTTGAGGTCCAGGCAACCTCTGCATCCTTGTCGCCAATTGTTATCCATGTCGAACGAAAACATCTTCATCTGGAATGTCCGTCCAGGAGAGGGTGTTGCTCGTTTGCTTGCAGGAGACTAAGCTCGCCAATGTCTGCAACCAACTTGCTTCTGAATGCCTAGGAACATCATTTGAGTATGCCTTGTTGCCTGCTGTGAATACCGCCGGTGGAGTTCTCCTCGGCTGGAGGATGGACGCCTGGTCGACGTCGCATGTGTCTCTGCAGTCACACTCGATAACTGCCAAAATTGCCTGTCACTCTGATCCCAGGCTGGCCTGGTGGATCACGGTCATTTACGGGCCGCTGGATGCTAATGCCCAACAGGCTTTTCTTAACGAGCTCACGGCTCTCTGCTCCTCGCTGCTGGGTCTCTGGCTCCTTTGCAGGGACTTCAACAAG